GGGGGTAGTTGTGTTTCCTGAATACAGCAGATACCAGGCTTGAATTTTTTAACCCAATCAGAAAATCTATGTCTCTTCAGTGGGGTGTTTAAGACATTCAACTCATTGAGAGAATTGATAAGAAGCGTGGATTTTTGTTTGTCCTTTGTGAGGGACTTTGCTGCTTTGTTTTATCACGTGGGCCATTGTGGTAGGTAGGCTTTGTCTCTAAGTTACCAGGTTGTTTTACTTTGCTGGGAGATACTGCCTTGGTCTGTGTACAGTATAGGTCTGATAACTTCCTGCAGGGCAGGTAGTGGTAAATTTGCTCAAAGTTTGCATGTCATGAAAAGATTTGATTTCTCCAACAAATACGAAACTCATTTTTGTACAATGCAGAATCCTAACCTGGGAGTTTTTCTGTTTGAGTAAATTGAAGATTGGAGCCTACTCTCTTCTGGCTTGTAAAGTCTCCCCTGAGAAATCATTAACCTGATAGGTTTACCCTTATAGGTCAGGTATAGCTTACGCCTGTCAGCTTGTAGAAATTTTCTCTTTCATTTTGACTTTGGCCAGGATAATTATAATGTGTCTGGGAGGGACTCTGTTTGAACTGAGTCATCCTAGAGCTCAATAACCACCTAGTAAGAGTACATAGTATGTCTGGATCTCTGACAATACTTGGGAAGTTTTCAACCATAATATCTTCTACTAGAGCTTCCATGTTTGGGGGATTCTCGTCTTCTCTTCCAGGGACGCCTGTGATTTGTACATTTGTAGACTTTGCATAGTCCCATATCCCTCAAAGAGATTGCTCTGCTTTTGCTCCTTTCCTTTTTGCCTCTTTAAATGATTGGGTTAGCTCGAGAGCCTTATCTTTGTGTTCTGAGATTCTTTCTTCTCCACGGTTTAATCTGTTGCTGAAACTCTCTGCTGTGTTTTCAAACTCCCCAAATGCCTTTCAATTTTTTAAGCTGTGTTATAGCCTTCCTAGTTTTGTCCATATCCTTGATGACTCTGTCTTTAATTTCATTAATTTCTTTTTTCTTTTTCTTTCCTTTTCTTTCTTTCTTTCTTTTTTTTTTTTTTTAGATAAAGTCTCACTCTGTCACTCTAGGTAGAGTGCCATGGCTTCTGCCTAGTTCACAGAAACTTCAAACAGTTGGGCTCAAGTGATTCTCCTGCCTTAACCTCCCAAATAGCTGGGACTACAGGTGCCCACTGCAACTGGCTGGTTTTTCTATTTTTAGTATAGATGGGGTCTGGCTCTTGCTCAGCCTTTTAGAGTGCTAGGATTACAGGCATGAGTCCCCATGCCTGGCCTAATTTCATTAATTTCTTAAAACAATTTTTGGACTTATTTTTGCTGGTTTCCACTTTCTCTTCATTTCCATTCGTCTTATCTGCCATTTATATTCTGAATTCCATTTGTGTCATTCCAACAATTTCTTTATGGTCAAAATTTTCTGTCATAGCTCCATTGTGATCCCTTGGAGGAGTTGATTTGTTATAGTTTTTCATGTTGCCAGAGTTTTTTCGCTTGTTCCTCTTCATGTGTCCTTTCTTTTTTTTTTTATTAATTTTTTAAAATTTTTCCTTTTCTCTTCCTCCTCTTCACTCTTTCTGGCCTTCACCCTAGGCTATTAGGTTGAATTGACCCTCATTGCTGAACATCACCACAGTCACCTTCAAAGTACTCCCCTTGGGAAGCCATGCATCAATGCCAGCTTCCAGTCCACCCTTCAAAGCAATTTTGGAACCCTTTTTCTGGAATGACCATCAGAGTATATATGAAAATCATCCTGGAGAAACCTCACTAAAGCTGCCTCCTCAGCCATCAGGTCTGCAGGCAGGAGCTATTTCTTCATGGTGGATGCAGGCCTCAAATCATCTCAAAGTTTTGGCTGCACCTTCTCAGGTCAGTCCTGAGGCCCTGTTGCCCACCATATGACACTCAGGTCTTGGTCCCTCTGGCAGGCTAACTGGGTCCTTCATTGCCTTCCACTCACTACACAATGCTCCGCTCCATGTACAGAGGATTAGGAGACTGAGCCAGCTGGGCAGAAACCCAGAGGACTACGAGTCTGTGTGCAGAGAAGCCCCACAATGTCCACAGATTACCTCCTCTTAGGCTCCAGGAAAGAAATCCAAGCTCTTTCTTTATCTCAGAAAAATTCTGGTCCTTGCAGCTGCAGGACTGTGATTCCCTGATCTTTACTGGCTCTTAGCTCCTTGAGCCCACACATTCCTTTCCACATGGCCCCTTCCATCTTTGGCCAACAAAGACACATTGAAATCTTCTCATACTTCACACAGGGTTAGGTGCAATCAGGGTGATATAGCCATCGACAGTAATCTTCTCACACTTCAGATCTGTGACTTTTTCTGTAACCAGTCAGAAGAAACCCTCAGATTTTAAAGGGCTCAGGTGATTAGGTCAAGCCCACCAGATAATCTCCTTATCTTAATAGCAACATATTTGAGACTTGAATTACCAAAATCCCTTCATTGCAGCACCTAGGTTCGTGCTTACTCAAATAAGTGGAGAAAATACATGTACCCCAGGGCTGGGAATCTAGGTGGATCATCTTGGAATTCTGCTTAGTGCAAGCTCTTTGTTCCTTTCCTTTGAATCTAGGCAGGCCAGTGCCTATATCAAAAGTGACACTATGTGACTCCCAAGTTCTGGTGATAAGTAAAATACCTTCTGTGGGTGGACATGTGGGAGGACAAGGCCGAGGGAGTACAGGCAGAAGACGGCACCTTTTTGAAGTACCCACATAAATTGGATTTTTAATGATGTTTTTATTCATACAAATTTAGTTAGGGGATGCAGCTTGTGAGAAATGGGATACAGGAAAGGTAGAAAACACACGTATTGAGAGTATGTGCACAGGGAGACCACAACACATATTGGGAGCCCCCAAAGTCTGCTGAACTACAGCAGCACAGGCCTTGGAAAAAACGACAAGAAATGTCTTGCTGAGGCCTGAACTTTGCCCTACAGAGAGCCTGCACCATGGTCTCTAGGGGGTAATGCGCTGTGGCTAGATGTGCTGGGACCAGTACATGCAGCAAGCTCTCCACGAAAGAGCAACAACTTCTTGGGGTCGAGATAAGAGGAACAACTTCTTTCTTCCCCACTCCTGAAACAAGTGTGTTGTCGCCCTGTCTGGCCACAGGGACCAGGAGACTTCATTGCCTCCTTTGGAAACTGTGTGCATGGTCAAACTTGCTGTCTACTCCCTCATCCTGCTTGTAAGTCTTGTTCCTTGTTCCGTAGACTGCATCTCAGTTCTTTGTGTTAAAAATTAAATTTGGTTAGAGAGGAGCTTAGTTGAAGTTGTAAGCACCACAAAACTGATGATGTATAGTGCTATTTTTGGCTTTTCCTGGTGATTGCTTATTGGTTGATTTGAAGACAATGGAGGTAACAAATACCAAGTTAACACACAACAAGGGGCCTTTGCTGTTCCTTGAGTTAGATGGCAACGGGCCCCTAGGCCCACCTTTTTAAATCCTACTTTGTCTCTTGTCTTTATTTCTTTCCTTCTCTCATCACCGCCAATCACCAAGGGATACCCACAGGTTATGTGGGGGCTGGTACCCCAACATTCCTGGCCGTTTCTCACTTAGGGCATATGTTTTGGGAACTCTGAGCCAGTGTGTGAGAAGTCTGGCTACCCTGAAGCTCTCCTGTGGGAGGGATCACACTGACACACTCTCCAGGGAGATGGAGATGTCTGAGGAGCCCCACCTGGGCCAGATATGTGAGTGAGCAAGAGTCCCCAGCCTATGAGCCACAAGGACACCAACAGAAACAGAGATGAGCTGTCCCCACCAAGTGTGGTTTCCATTTTTCGATTCATGAGCAAAATAAGTAGTTGTTTTAAGCTTTGGCAAGACTTGCCATGTAGCTATCGTACCTGGTACATAGGATGAGAGGGCTCTCTGCCCTAGCTATGAAAAGGAGTTTTGACTATCAGAATCCTTGAAGAATGTTATTGGCTACCATCTTTCTTATAGAATGTTCCTTATTCTGCCTCAGAATACCTCATTTTTGCCTATATTTTTCATATCTATGAAATCTTCCAAAGCAAAAACCACATTATTGTCTTATTTCCATCCATAGCTAACACACAACCTACCAGTAGACTATGGTAGATTGTTGGCAACAAAAGTGGCCTCAATTATTGCCCTTCCCCCATACCCTTCCCTTTGCCACATGGCTTTGCACCTCCTCCCATCAAGAGAAGATTGTTTCCCCTGCCCTCGGTCTGAGCTAGGTAATCACTTGCTTTGGCCAATATAATGCAGACAGAGTTATTATTCTGAACCTAAGCCTCAAGAGGCCTTGCACGCTGCCATGGTCACGGAATACAGCTCAAGCTAGCCGGCTGGAGAATAAGTCATACAGCTCATTCATCCACATCATCCTAGCCAGCATCCAGAAAACTTCCAAGGCAGAGCCACCTGGCTCCCTTATAGCTGACCACAGATGCATAAAAGAAAACAAAATTGCCCAGTTTAAGTTGCCAACTGAAAAAATTATAAGTTAAATTAATAGTTGCTATCTTGAGCCACCAAACTGTGAGTTGCTTTATTATAAACAAAAGCTAACTGATAGAAAAGCTAACCAACACTTTTCATAGTGGATTCAATTGATTCTTTTGACCTCTATTCACTCCCTTCTTATCTCAAAGAACAAATGGGTCCACACTGAAGTTTGAGTTGCAGTGGGAAAGGTTTATTAGGAATTTGGGATCGGGCAGGGTGTGAGGTCACCCCAAGCCCTAGAAAGCAAGGGAGGCCTTCCCAACCCTGAAGCCATCAAAGCCCAGCACAGTAGGAAGCCAGTAGACAACCAGAGGCACACGCTCCAAGTCAGTCCAGTCCCAAATGGGCACCAGGGCTCATTGACAGCTATTCCTGATGTCAGGATGCAGTAAACAGGCTTCATCCAGGGTCTGCCATCTGGGGGAAGCTCAGCCGGGGCTGGGCAGGGAAAGTTCACAGAGGCTCTAGTATCGCATGTGGTAACCTGTGGAGAGATGGAAGAGAAGTGACTGTGAAAAGAAAGGACTATGAGAAGTTGGGACTTGGAGAAAAATGGTGAAACTGGGAGCAGGAACACTGGAGCCTCAATATCTAGAGAGTCCTGAGGTAGAAAGAGTTGGGGTCACCCAACCTCTTGTCCCCATCTGTTTCCTGAATCTCCTGCAGTAGCCCTGGCAGACAATCTCCCATGAGGCAGCCCTCTGCAGTCAGCAGCTTCATTAGTACATTTTTGCATATTGAGGCAAAGATGGCCCCAACTTCACCTCTAGAAGCACATGCATAGCCCTGCAATGTCACTGGACACACAAAACCATACCAGACCCCCTACAGAAGGGTGGCTCCCAGGCACCTCAAGCCTCCTCTGAGCTAAACATTCCCTGTCATGTGACCCAGCCTTTTACCATCATTTCATATTAAGTTTTTATTTTATAAAATTCAGTATGTACATGAGGGAATTTTCCCCGACCTAGGGACTGCTTTACTGTGTGACTCTTTTCTTCCATTTAGACTGTCATATTCATTGTGTACTTCTTTTGGCAGCTGCATTGCGTAATATTTGTGCAAGTCAACCACTGACTAAAACTCTTGAACCTCTTTTCCACCAACACTGTTGCTAATCCAGGTCTCCCATCCTCATGATGGTTGAAAGCACTGACTAGGGAGCCACACTGAGCTGAGTCCCTCATCTATGAATTATATAACCTTGTGTAAATTACTTATTTTCTCTGAGGCTCATTTTTTTAAAAATAGGGACAATAATAAAACTTGCCTTAAAAAGCATGATTAGAAATATATAAGCTAGTGCACAATTATCAACCCATCTCTTAAACTATTGAGAATTGGCCATGTGTATATTTGATTGTAGCCTCAACCAAATCTGTGTCAAAAATAATGATCAATTAAGAACCAAAGGAAAATCTATGGAACCTCATTAGAGACCTCTCTAAAATCTAGTTCGGTCCAGAACATGTATTCTCCAGAGAGGTTCAAAGATACTGAAAAGGAGGCATGATACTTTGCCTCTTCCTCCACCCCACAACCTGGAGTTGTGTCTCTCCCTACCCCACAGCCAAGAATTGTATTGTTCCTTACCTTTTGTATCATCATAGTCACCAGGTCTTGAGGAAGAGGGCGATCTTCCACCACTTCCACCTTTGGTTGCACCTCCTCCTCCATAGCTGCCTCCACTTTCACCTCCAGAACCACTTCCTCCACCATAGCTGCCTCCACTTCCTCCTCCAGAACCACTTCCTCCACCATGGCTGCCTCCACTTCCTCCTCCAGAACCACTTCCTCCACCATGGCTGCCTCCACTTCCTCCTCCAGAGCTACTTCCTCCACCATGGCTGCCTCCTCCAGAGCTACTTCCTCCACCATAGCTTCCTCCACCATGGCTTCCTCCACCATGGCTTCCTCCTCCAGAGCTACTTCCTCCACCATAGCTTCCTCCACTTCCTCCTCCAGAGCCACTTCCTCCACCATAACCACCTCCACTTCCTCCTCCAGAGCCACTTCCTCCACCACCATAACCACCTCCTCTTCCTCCTCCAGAGCTACTTCCTCCACCATAGCTGCCTCCTCCAGACCCCCTTCCTCTTCCAGAACTGCCTCCACTTCCACCATAAGATCCACTTCCTCCTCGACTTCCTTGGCCACCTCCAAAGCCAATTTTTTCAGCTCCAGAAGAGTCACTGAAAAAGAAAGAAAGAAAAAAGAGATCGAATGTGTGGCCCTCACATATATATACAAATAATAGACTAAGATGGCCCTGGACAGACTCAAGACCCAAACATGAATCTTTCTGTTTTTTTTTTTCTGGAGGGCAGAGGACAGAAGGTGAGCTGGTACTGCAGCTGGGAGGAGAGAGCCTCTGTCTGGGACTGTGAAGCCGTACACTTCCCTGGAGCAGGGAAGCAGCTCCTTCTCACATTGTCATCATCCACTTCCCCAAAGCCCAAATGCCCTGAGGCCCCCCACACACACACAGGATGAAGAAGTCCCCAACCCATCAGACCCTTGTGTACAAGAGCTTCCCCAGCTGCCTCTATTCAGAGAACCGAAGTCATAGCAGAGGTCTAGGCACTCCTAGGGGTTCAAAAGAATCCTGGGACACCTACAAGTCTTCCTGGCCACCCTGAAGGAGGCTGCGGTAGGTCTTAATTTCCTGCTCCAGCCGTGTCTTGATGCTGAGCAGAAGGCCGTATTCCTGATTCTGGCACTCAATCTCTTGCCGAGTATCAGTGATTTGGCCCTCCAGATCACTGATCTGATGCTGGATCTGCTGCAGCTGGACACAGTAGCGATTCTTCGTTTCTTCCAAGGAATTCTCCAGGGCTGCTTTCTGTGGGGCAGGAGGATGTTTTAGGAGGGATGCCATAGCTCCTCTCCTTCCCACTCCTGGAGATCATGCAAAGCTTCCTGCATCCCACCCTGGCAGAGGGTCTAGAGCAGGGATACTAACCTTGCTGAGCTGAGACTGCAGCTCGATCTCCAATTCCTGGGTACTATGCCGAAGCTGAGTCACCTCCTTGGTGTTGGACTCCGCCTCCTGGCCAGCACTTGACACTTGCTGCTCAATCTGGGTCATCTGCAAACCCAAAGGCTCAGTGAGAACCAGGGTGGGCCAATAGCTTCAGTGGGAAAGGTTCTGTCCCACCCACCAGGATCTTCACCTTCATGGTCAAAGCTGAGCCAAAACCAAGGATAAGTTATTCTGAGTTCTGGATCTCTCCAGCCATGTGGGATTCTCCAGTTCTCTCAACATGACATTGCCTCTTAGCAAGGTTTCAAAGCCCTTCATACTTTGTCCCCAAATCACCTTTCTAATCTTTTTTCAAACTGTTCCCCACCTTCCAAGTACAGCATACACACACACTACAGACCTTGCCTTTATGTGTGAGGCTCTCTGAGAGGCTCTGGAGACCCAAGGAGGAAGGGAGCCATCAAGGAGCACAGGGTGGTATTGGAGGCACACTGTATCCCTCTTCTAAGGTCCTATCTTACATAGCATTAAAGTAAGTTGTTCAGGCTCTGATTTTGCTCTCACACAGCTGACAAACTGTGAGCCCTCAAGGGCAGCAATCTTATTGGGCTCATCTCTGAGACATCAGCACTTCGCACAAAACCCAACACTGAGAAGCTACTCCACAATTACATCTGTGTGCAGTGAAGAAAGATGAATGAGTAACATCCATCAGAAGACAGGTCAGTGACAGCTGCACTGAAACAAAGTAGTGGGGGATGAAGGGATGGAAGAGAGGGATGGGGTAGAGGAACAGAGAGCTGCAAGGGTGAAGAGAGAGACAGCTGGATGGGCAGCCCACTCTGCTCACCTGACTCTCATATTGTTGCTCGATATCCTTTCGGTTCTTAGCAATGATATCTTCATACTCCTTGCGCATGTTATTGAGGATCTGGGTGAGATCTTTGGCAGGAGCAACATTTATCTCCACGTTCACATCCCCATCGTTCTGCCCAGTCAGCTGGCTCATTTCCTGCCAGGGAAGAAGGGAATGTGTGGTCAGGTCAAGGGTAGGATCCTCTTCACCATCTTTCAGAGTGTGCTTCCAGAGTATAGTTGTGAAATCAAAGCTGAACCACCACCATAGACAGTGCTAAGGAGGAGCTGCAAGTGTCCTCTTGGGAAGCAAGGGAGAGAATGTCTCCCAGGCAATGCCCCACAGGGCCTCTGCTCTCCCGTCCTTCCCTCTTGCCAGTAAGCTGTAGTAGCCAGCATCCCACCTCCTGATGATTCTTCTTGAGGGCCTGTAGCTCCTCCTGCAGGCTCTCATACTGCATCTCTGCGTCAGACTTCTCCATGGTCAGGTTGTCCAGCACCTGCCGCAGGCCGTTGATGTCGGCTTCCACCCCTTGCCGCAGGTTTTGCTCCATCTCAAACCTGCAGGCAGGGGTAGAGAATGATTGAAAAGGCACCAGGCTCTCCAGGGACCTCCAGAGCACTGGGGATGGGGTACGTATTGATGAAAGGAGCAGGACTCACTTTAGCCTGAAGTCATCTAGTGTCATGCGAGTGTTGTCAACATCCAAGAGAGTTTTGTTATAGTCTACGGTCGTATCCTCCTTCTGAAAAAGAGAAAGCAGCATGGAATCATGCTACCCTGCTGTGCCCCACTGCTGGGAGGACAAGGGGCCAGCCAAAGCCATCGGAGGTTGAAGGTCCCAACCGGGAAGATGTTCAAGAAGCAGAAGGAGCTTCCAACAGCTGATGAATGGCCCAGACCCCTCCCAGCCTTCAGCAAGGATGTTCAGTGTGGCCATCAACCATCCATTCAACAAATATTTGAAGATCTACTGCAAAGACCACCATGGAGTTCAGAGATCACTGATATACTGTTCCTCAAGGAGCCCCCCATTGACTACAAAGTCCACAGTATCCTAAAAGAGTTCAGGAATGGAGAGGCGGGTTATGGTTATGAGAGATCAAGAAAGACTTCAGGAAAGAGATGGCAACTGAATTGGGCCCTGAAGATTGAACACAAATAGATGGAAGAGGCATAGGTAGAAGAAACAGCACATCCAGAGGCAGCCTGTGTGACAGCACAGGGAAGGGGTGAGAACAGCAAGGAGCCCGACTGCCACAGTCCCGTCCCAGCCCTGGGCCTTCAGAAACCAGAGGTTTGTTTCTGATGCAAGTTTAAAGTTTCTAAAAAGATGGGTTCCCTGGATGTTGTTTAAGCTTAGAGTCTACCATTTTACCTTTTGGGAAGATAAGGTATATAAGAGAGAAAAGAGAGCTAGAGAAAGAGGAGGATTGGAGTTTCCTGCCTCTGCTGTTTCCTGTTTTCTGGCCTCTGCTCTCTTACCTGTTTCTGGAGATCAGCAATAGTGTCGTAGTAATCAGAGTAGTCCTTCTGGAATACACTGGGCCCCTTGTTTTGATACCAGTCTTGAATCTTACTCTCCAGGTTACGGTTAGCATCCTCTAGAGACTGCACCTTATCCAAGTAGGAGGCCAGCCGGGAATTGAGTTCCTGCATGGTGGCCTTCTCATTTGTGGTCAGAATACCACCATCACTGCCACCATAGCCACCCCCAGACCCACCATAGCTACCTCCAAAACCTCCAGACCCACCACCAAAACCACCGCCAAAGCCACCTCCAGAACCACCGCCGAAGCCACCTCCAGAACCACCACCAAAGCCACCCCCAAAGCCTCCAGACCCACCAAAGCATCCACCAGAAGCAAAACCTCTGGAACCACCCCCTAAACTATAACTACTAGAACTAAACCCACCCCCGGATCCTCCGCCGTAGATGGAGCCAAAGCTGCTGCCGCCTCCCCTCCCACAGACACGAGAGCTCCCCCCGCCATAGCCACTGGAAGAGCTGAATCGGCCCCCTCCTCCGGCACCCCCCGAGGAGCTGAAACGACTGCAGGAAGACATGCTGCTGCCACCGCCACCGCCGCCGCCACCAAGGCTGCTGCGGCTGTAGTAGGATGAGGACTGTCTGCAACTCATGGCCCTGCGCTCGGCTCCTAGGATGGGAAGCAGTTGGAGGAGTGCTGCTGACTCCTGAGTGCAAGGTACAGAGCTGTCCCCAGGGCTGCCTACTTATACCCCCGGCTGATGGTGGCACGCCTGGGTGTGACCTCGCTCAGTGCCAGCCTCCCCCCACAGACCCAAAGGAGGTCTGGGATGGGGAGGCAGCGGTCGCCCAAAGCTCAGCGTCCTTTGCTGACTGCCTAGGGGCAGCCCAGCCTCTCTCCATTGTTTAGGGTAATTTGATGATATTAGGCTGTCAGGGGTGCCATAAATCAGCTCTGCTGCCACAGGGGTGACCTAGATCCTGGAGTTTGGTCTCTGACTGGCCACAACAGCAGGTCTGAGACTTAGCCCCTTTGAGATAGAAACTCCCAGGAGCAGAGTCACCTCCACCATTGGTGATTACTACTATCTGCACCCACCCTGCTCCCACTTTGTGCCCACTGTGGGCGACCTGTGCCCAGGGTACCAAGGAGGTCTTATAGAGCATGGGGGTGGCATAGCCCCTGCTCTCGTGAGCCCCAGTCGGATGAGAAACCAGTTCTGCTCTCAGGATCCTCAAGGCTTTCTGGGGAGACCAAGGCTCTGCCCTCAGGAGACTCTATCTGGTGAGGAGACAAGTGGCGTGGCCAAAAGATGGAGAAAGACATAGAGCAATGTGCCCGCCAGCGCCCAAGGACAGTGCCCAGGGTTCACACGAAAGACCAGGAGAAGAAAGTGGACCAAATAAATAAAATGTTGCTAACGCTAGCCAACGTTTGAGCAGGAAGGCAAGTGGCCTGACTGTCCTGGTCCTTCTGCAGGGTCCAGCAGGAGGTATAGAATTGGCCTTGGTTGTGTGTCTGCCCCATACTGATCCCCTGGGGACACAGAGATGTGTGACTTAACTCAGACGCATCTTCTGGTCAGCAAGGCCAGCAGGGAGTGATAAAGAAGGCTGTAGCTGTGGGATGACTGCTGGAGCACTGTCCCTGCTCTGTGCTCACAGGCTGTGTGACTTTGATAAGGTACTTAACTACTCTGTGCCTTGGTTTCCTCTGTAAAATGATGCTGTTAATAGTTAGCTCATCTCCTAGTAAAAGATCCATGAGAAACACTCAAGAAATGCCAAATGCCTCTGATTATTCAGCCCCTGACTCCCTGTTGCCTCTGCCCTCACCCAGGCCTTAGCCGTCAGCTACTTAGTGCTCTCCTGCCTCTCTGGTGTCCCTCTGATTCCCGCCTCATGGCTGCCAGAGCGATCTTTCTAACCTGTGTCTGGAGTGATGTGTCACTCCACTGACTTACCTTCACCCCCAAGGTAAGGTCCATGTTCCCGGCACTTAAGGCCCATATCCCATCTTCCCATTCTCGCCCCATCTCTCACCTTCCCCCAGGCCCCCACCAAGTCAAGCAATCCTCCCCAAATGCCCTGTCTGCCTCGGAGAATGCTCAGCACTTGCAGTTCCCTCGAATGGAAATGGCCCTCTCTATCTTTTCTGAGCAGAAAACCCCAACTCATCTTCAGGGACCCCTCTGTGTGCCGCCTCCTCAATGAAGCCTTCCTGTGCTCCCCCTCTGGGTTTGCTCTTTGCTCTGTCACAGTCTCTCACACTAATCTCCATGGTCTCCCAGGTGGCAGGAGCACCTCTAAGTCTGCCTCCCCCGCCCAGCACTGTGTCTGGTCTGGATAGGATCCCAACACAGGTGAGATGAAGGGAGGATGCCAGTGGTTCTAGAGAGATGCTAAGAGTCAGAAGAGGGCAAAAGGTGAGAAGAGAGAAGCCAGAACAGCCAACAAGGGCCTGAAAGAGGCAGTGACCTCTGGACAGAGGCCAAAGAATGTTTAGGCACCATAAAGGACCAGTGTTTCTTGAGAGGCTCTGAAGTGACTCAGAGACTGTTTTAAATAATACTGAAGCACTTGGTGGAAAGACTATTTCTTCTATTTTTTATTCTTCTGATTAGTTGAGGAGAAACTCTCAGTTAGATACTATGGCCTCTTTAACTCCCCTCCCCACTGTCAATCACTCTGTTCACTAAAACCAGAGCCAACCGTGGGCTCAGAGGCTGTAGAAAGCAACTGAATCTAGTTAGAAGCAAAGTGTTTCTTTATATCATTCCTTTCTCTTCCTGACAAATGATTCTGATTTTCCTGCTGTTGGGCAGTAATATAGGACTCCTTTATAAATATATTCGTTGAAATGAAAGGTGAGCTAACCTACCAAAATGGGTTTAAAAAATACTTAAATGGTGGTACAACATATGTTACATTAAAAATTAAGGCCAGATACGGTGTCCCTTGCCTATAATCCTAGCACTCTGAGAGGTCAAGGCAGAAGGATTGCTTAAGCCCAGGAGTTTGAGACCAGCCTGAACAACACGGTGAGACCTCATCTCTATGAAAAATAACAATTTTTTAAAGATTAGCCTGGCTTGTTGGAGCACACCTGTACTCACAGCTGCATGGGAGGGTGGGGCAAGAGGATCACTTGAACACGGGAGTTTGAGGTAGCAGTGAGCCATGATGACATGATGATGCCACTGCACTTCAGCCTGGGCAGGCAACAGAACGAGACCCTATCTTATAAATAAAAAAGCAAGCAGGTAGTACAGGGAATATTGAGGGGTTCCTGTGAATGCCTAACACATGAGAGACGAGAGACTCAAGTTAGTTGTTATGTGTTGATTCCCTTTCTACTTTCTTGAATGGCTCTAGACCATCCAAGGTCCCCCTGCCAAACTCTTCCAGGAAGCCCAGAATCCACCTACAACATGGCCTAAAGCCTAGAAAGTACCTCCCCCAATCCCCACGCTGATACCACAGGTCCTGGGTGCATGAGCTGGATACAAGAGAATTGGGGCAGACCTGAGGGTGGGCTCTCTCTGACCCACAAATGCACTCATATTGGGAGATCTAAGAACAGTTCAAACCTGCCTGATTTGCCACAGCTCCCAGCTGGGGAAGGCCTGACCAGTGGCTGTCCTGAAAGATGAGCATCCTGGTGTCAAACTCACTAACCCCTAGCCTTACCCTCTCCTTAGCTTCCCACCCTCAGCCTTGTCCTGAGCCTGGCTCAGCCCAGAGAAGCAGGCTATGGCCCTCAAAATTCCTCCCAGCTGCCCAGGAAAGTAAGTTGTCCCTGGGGACTACCATGGTATAAAAAGAGCAATAGGTCCCAGTCAGACAGGGTGGACCATCGGCCAGCCACATCTTCCCTTCCTCTGTGGCTATGGCCTCAGTGTCCTCCTGAGAAGCCCTTTTATGCAGTGTTGCCAAAGGCCACAAAGACCAAGAGTCTCCAGACAAAGACCAATTCCTGCCCGCAGCAGCCCTCCTCTCACCACATCTGTGCTGGACAGCTCTTGTGGTTGACCTAGGAGGTCTTGTTCCACTTGCAACTGGACACCATCATTTCCCTTCTCTTCCAAGCTCTCTGCCTGGCATAGGGAGCCAGACTGGGCAAGATGGGGCCAGGGATGAGTGAGTGATTTTTTAGGCCATATGACATGGCTCACTCTTACTAGCACCTCTCATAGGAACCCTCCAAAGAATGAAACAGGAAAGGAACTCTGGTTCCAGGGGCACCCCTGTGCCTGAGACCGAGTGAGCATCGGCACCTCCTCTCTGTAGCCTACATGTAAGGCGCAGCCTGAACCCACAGTGCCAGCAACCCAAGCACCATCCCTGCCCTTGGCAGGTGGATGGAGTGGGACAAAGGGGGCTATGAGGACTCAGAGAGGCACAATAGGACAGGGGGAATGAAACAGAGATCCCACCTTCAAGGGGGCTGCAGAGGGGACTTGGTGGCAAGATGAGGACAGCCTTGCTCTCCCCATGGGAGCCTTGCTCGCTGCCTGCAGGCAGCTGTCTATGGCCCTTACTTGCTCCCATCGCTGTCTGTCATTGGGACAAGGTGGGGCCCAGGGCGGGGCCTGAGTCATCATGTGGTTGTTGCTGGGAAAGGGAGCACAGGTGTGAGTCACAGCTCCTCCTCTCCCCTCCATGACATCCAGGCAGGTGCGCACTGTGCACTGGCACAGGGCTGAGGTGCCTGCACCTGTCTGTCAACGCTCCTTCCTCACACAATAGTCACTTGCCACCACCCCAGCTAGCCAGACCCCACCAGACCAAGGAGAGGGGATGGGAAGGGCCCTCGGAGGAGCCTCCATCTGAGACTAGACACCCCAGCCTGTGTCTACCAGGACACACCCAGCAGACAGGCTGAGAGCACCGGACAGGTCTGAGGCTGAAACCAGATTCCTCCATTTATTTGGAGAACCTACTGTTGCTGTGAGCACCTCCTGTGTGCCAGGCATTGTACTGAGTCCCAGGGGGTAAAGTAATGAGCAAGCACCTATCTTCCTGGACTCTTACCAGATAAAATAGACTCTCGAATGTAAATGTATAACTCACAACTGAGGCGAGCACTATTGGTGGGGAAATAGGGAGCACAGAAAAAGGGGTGTGGCACGAGCTGGGGGTTCAGGGATAGAGCTCCCACCTGCAAGGGGGCTCCAGAGGGGAAGGGGGGGTCCTCTGGAGGGGAGCAAGTCAGGGCTGAGGGCAGCTGCCTACAGGCAGTGGGCAGGGCGCCCATGGCCAGAGCAAGGCTGTCCTTATCTTGCCACCAAGTCCCCTCAAGCAGGGACTGAGAAAGAGACACTCTGGTGAAGGGTGAAGAGTGAGCCAGGAGAAGGAAACCAGGAAAAGCACTGAGGGAGGGGACAAACAGCGTGTGCAAATGTCCTGAGGTGAGAAGGAGCAAAGTGACTGCAAGGGAGGAAGTTCAGTGTGGCTAAAGGGCAGAGGGTCAAGTCAGGCAAAGGATTTGAGAGAAAAGGAAAAACAGTCCCAACCTCATGAAGTTGTTGAGAGTCTTAAAAAGCCAATATTGTAAAATTGACAGGGTGGGTTGGGCCACATCGGGACATCTTGCTATCGGTGGCACTGAGTCTGCTCCCTGACTTCCCCGTGGACTGTAGATGACTTGGGTTCTCAGCAGCCACACTTGTTACTAGTTCCCCCCCTCTAGTCCACCGAGCCCCCACTGAGATCAAGGGCCTTGTGCCAGTGGGGGCTGGGGCCCTGTCTAATGTTGGGGGATGGTGGTTCCTCCCATAGAGGAATCACCAGTGTTGCGGACAAAACCCCCACTATTTTGCCTGCATAGTCTTGTTTACTCTTCATTAGCTGTTTTGTGAGGTGAGTACTAATTTCAAAACCATTTTACAGATGAGAAAATTGAGGCTCAGAGAGGGTAAGTATCTTGGCCACAGTCACAGAGCTGGACAAGAGGGTGGAACCACAGTTCGCCTTCCGGTGAGTGACAGCAACAGTGGGCACAGGTCCAAGGTTCCTTCTCTCTGCCCCAAACCCCACACACTTTCTGGGTCCCTCTCTGCCTTCCTCCTTGTGTTGTCTCTGTCCTTGTTCAGCCTGTCTCAATTCACTCCATCTCTCTCACACCTGCAACCATGAGCTTCAGTAACTACATGTGAAAATGAAGGAATGAATGAATGAATGCTCCCCATTGCCCAGTCCTAGAGCTGGTCACTGGTTCCCTTTTGCTGACTCTCTCTCCCTCCTTCTCTGTGTGTGTGTCTCTCTCAGTTCTGTATACATTTCTGTTTCTCCCCTTCTCCCTCTGTCTCTCCTTTTCTCCCACATCAACTCACTCCCAAGTTCATCAGAGAGCTTCAAAGGAAAAAGATTTCCTTTCCCAGGCCTGGGCTCAAAGCTGACAGCATCACAGAGGGAAGCCCCACCAGGAAAGCTCTGACTCAGCAAGTGGCAATGGAGGAGGAGCTGCTGCCTGCTGTGTCCTTGGGGTCCCTGACATCCCACTGCTCCCTTGTAGCAGCATCCAAGCTCAGTGAGGTGGGCCACCTCCACAGACCTGCCCAGACACCAGGGCCCCTAGTCCCTAGGCATCAGGCCTCCCCTGCTCTCTCTCCCCTAACACCTGCATGTAGGAATAGTTTGCGACTGTCACCCAAACCAGGTTATCATCTGTGGTCTTGGAAAAGAACCATTTGCCTGATCAGGTAATCAGAGGGAGATACGCCACTTGCTGCCTATAATGATCCTGGAGATAATTTCACAATAAAAAGAGTCCCCCCCCCCAAACTAAAGGGGTTTGAGAAATTCAAGGTTGGGTTTCACCCCATAAAACAAAAATCTTGGAGTACCTCAGTGGCTAGGGCGCCGGCCACATACACCCAGGCCAGTGGGTTCAAACCCAGCCCGAGCCTGCTAAACAACAATGACAACTACAACAACAACAAAAAAGAAATAGCCAGGCGTTGTGGCAGGCACCTATAGTTCCAGTTACTTGGGAGGCTGAGGCAAGAGAATCGCTTAAGCCCAAGAGTTGGAGGTTGCTGTGAGCTGTGAGGCTACAGCACTCTACCGAGGGCGACAGCTTGAGGCTCTATGTCAAATAAATAAATAAATAAAAATAAAATAGCTGGGCGTTGTGGCAGGCGCCTGT